TTCCTTTAGGATCTGCATTAATTTGGTCCAATTTACGTGTCAAATGCCTTCTGCCAGTCTATAAAGCAAGCACACAGTTCTTCATCTATCTCCAAAGTTCGTTCTGCTATAATTCTCATCATCCCAATTGCATCCGTGGTTCCTTTTCCTCTTCTAAATCCAAACTGATCCTCTCCAAGTATATCCTCTATTTTCCTTTCAATTCTTCTTTTAAGTATCAATTGCTATTATCTTTGCTGTATGTGCAATAAGGCTTATTGTGCGATGGTCACTGCATTTAGTAGCTTTTGTCTTTTTCTTTAAGGTGATCATTGTCACTTCTGTAAAGTTCCTGGGCCACTCCCCAGTTTCATATATGGTGTTTATTAGTTTTGTCAGCGTTTTCCAACCACCTTCTCCCAGTAACTTAAGCACATCTCCAGGTACATCATCATCTCCTGTAGCCTTTCCATTCCTCATGTCCTTGATAGCTTTTTCCACCTCACTTTGTAAAATATAAGGTCCTTTCTCGTCTGCATCTGCTTCCTCTTCCAGTTCCACTTCCAAGGTTTCTGGCCGATTAGGTCGATCATATAGTTCTGAAATATAATTTTCCCAAATTTTCAGCACTTGCCTCTGGTCTACTATTCTATTCCCCTGGGAGTCTTCGATGTCAATATTTTGAATCCCATGGTTCTCTTTCCATCCTAGTTCTTTTGTCTTCATGTACATCAAATCACACCGCTCTGGCCTTTGAAATTCTGTAATCTCATTACATATCTTCTCAAGATATTCCTTTTTGGCCCTGTCCGTAGCTCTTTTCAATTCATTCCTCAGTCTCCTGTATTTCCTCCTGCCTTCTTCATTGTTTACATTCTTCCATTTCCTTCTCTCCTCCATTTTACTCATCATCTGCTGTGTAACCCATGATTTTCTTGCTATCTTCTCAACTTTACCAACCAATTCACTAATAGTATCTAACATGCATTCTTTTATATTGTTCCACTGCACTTCAGCATTTTTGCTTTCACTTTCAATTGCATTAAGTTTCTCTTCTAGGGTCTCCTGCACGCTTTGTCTTTGAGCATATAACTTCTCCAAATCCCATCTAGGTCTGCGCTTTTGGAATCTTATAATTTTCTTCAACCTGGTTCGAAAATTGGCAACCAGTAAGTTGTGGTCAGAGTCAATATCTGCCCCAGGCAGTGTCTTCACATCCTTCACGCTGTTTCTGAATCGATGGTATATGCCACTTTTATTGCATTTATCCAATTGTGGGTTATGTTTGAGTATATTTTCAATTGTGTTCCGTGTGTGAAATGCTACTTTTATCTGTGTGTCTTTGAAAAGTTTCGTGATTTTCTGTGCTTCTTTTGTGCTATATGTAAATATGGCCCACTTTGTTTTTTGGTGTTCGTCATCATGTGTGTTTGATTTCTGTTTGCATTTTGTCTGACTTGATCCGTAGATTATGTTTGTGTTGATGTCTACGTAAGTGAAAATACACCTGATGATGGCCAGTAATGGCCGAAACATGTAGTTTAAAAAAAGAAAGACAAAGAACTACAAATAAATTGTTGCATTTATGATGGTATTTACTTCTTCTTGCTTTCTAGAATGTTTTTGATGAACTTCCAACTCCACATGGTGAGGAGCAGCAATTTTGCTGTGATGTGTGCAATAAGTCATTCATTCAAGAGATTTATCTGAATGTACATCAGTGCATACATAGTGATGAGCGACCTACCTGTGACGTGTGTCTAAGTCATTCAGTGAGCAGAGTGGTCTGAAGAGGCATCTGCGCATACATAGTGGGGAGCGGCCATTTTACTGTAATGTGTGTAGTAAGTCATTCGTTCAGCAGAGTCATCTGAAGTCACATAAACTCATACACATTGGTGTGCGGCCATTTTGGTGTGACATATGTAAGAAGTCATTCATTTATCGGGCTCATCTGCAGATTCATCACCGCATACATACTGGTGAGCGGCCATTTAGCTGTGATATGTGTAATAAGTCATTCATTGAGCAGAGTAGTCTGAAGAGGCATCAGCGCATACATAGTGGGGAGCAGCCGTATTGCTGTGATATATGTAATATGTTGTTCAACCAATGTAGTAGTCTGAAGAGGCATCTACGCATACATGTTGGGAAGCAGCTGTTTTGCTGTGATGCGTAATAAGTCATTCTTTCAAGAGCATTGTCTTATGACACATGAACACATACATAGTGATGAGCAGCCTAGCCATGACGTGTGTAATAAGTCATTCAGTGAACAGGGTAGTCCGAACAGACATCAGTGCATACCTAGTGAGGAGTGGCCATTTTCTGTAATGTGTGAAACAAGTCTTTTGGCTGACACCTTAGTTAGTTAGTTAGTTATTGGAGAGGGTGGGTTTCTCCATGCACTTAGACCTGTATTGGTCCATTGTGCTTCCCTCTATGATTTCTACCATTCTCTATATCCTACCGGTACTGGTGCTTACCATCAGTCCCGCCCAGCCAGCGAGACCGGCTCTACTAGCTGAGATGTATCTATAATGCTTCCCCCATCTACCAGAGGTATTAGAGATTGCTCTTGGGCGGGAAACGTCTGTAATTTGGCTCAGTGACCTCCTTTGGAGATATGAGGTTCTTTTACGTGCCGTAAAGCTACAACACGGGACCCATGGCTTAAAGTCCCTCCCGGAGGACTTGTTCCCTCAAAAATTTGATGACCTCCGCCGGGTATTGAACCCGCGTTCTACGAGTCATGAGGTGGGAACGTTACCTCTAGACTATGTAGGCTGCTGGCTGACACCTTACTCTGAAGACACATCAGTGCTTACTTAGTGGGGAACAGCCGTTTTACTGTGATGTGTGGAATAAGTGATTTGATTGTCACAGTCATCTGAAGGCACATCAACTCACACATGGTGATGTGTGTAGTAAATCATATGGCAATGGGAATGCAGGAATATGACCTTTTTGATCATGCTGGTTATATGTATTTTCCTTCCTCACAGACTGTAGCCTGGTTCAAATGCAGCTTGTCTCCACCAATGAACTAATATGTGCTTAGTTCACAAGAGACAGCTCAGAGTTGGTGTCCATGAGGTGACAATTTTCTGCTGGATGTTTCATACAAGTATAACTCACGTTATAGAGTAATGTATACTCAGATTCATTATCATATGATTTAAATAAACTACTATAAATTAATATAAATATGATTTCAAAAACCCAAATATCTTCAGATTGCATACAATTTCCATAGCCTTGTTACTGCCTGTCACATCTCCCACCCTAACAGGCAGCCATGTTCTCTTCCTGTTATTTCATTTGCACGAAGAAGTTCATCTTAGGCACGTTCTGTGTGTGTTAGATTGTGGCAGAGCATGTCTACACACAACCTGAGCTTGCTTGCTTACTTTGACAGCATTGGACAGAAGTCAAATGCACACAAAATTTTGCTAGAAAAACCTGAATGAATGAGTTGCTTGAACGACCTAGGAATATACATATGGTATTATTAAAAGGTACCTGAAAGAAATAGAATGGGAGGCTAAAGAAAGGCTCAGAGTGAGGACCAGTGGTGGTGATCCTTTGGGTTAAATGATAGATGTGATAGCTGTAGTTGAGCGACTCTCAGCATGTCACAAAGGCTTCCGCAGTGTAGAGCTAGTTTGCCAGTTTCTTAATCATGTTGCACACTTGATGAAGGATATGCTAAGTATACAGGAGAACATAATTTTAACACACAATAAAATGAATTGCTCAATCTGTCATTTAAATATAAAAATAGAAAAAAAAACAAATGCAGTGCAAACCCCATGGGACAAAAGACATCTAGGAAATCCAGACATATATCAAAATTATTACAATCATTATGATGGATGTCCTTACAATTTCAAAATGAAAATCCCTTCTGAAGTGTAGTGACATTGCTTACAAGACCCTCAGTTGTAAGTTAAATTTTTGAAACTTGCAAGGAAAAGAATTCATTCACAAGCCAAATGCCGTCACCATGACACAGACGTGAGGATATAGACAGGATAAATCACAGATATAAGCAACTGTACCCCAGCAATACATAGGGACAGTCACTTCTTTAGCTGGCTCTCATTTATGCCTGCCATTCTTACAAGCACACAGCTATGAACCCTGGAGGCTGAGGCCCCAACAGGTATCTACATACTCTGTTTCAGTGGACAATGGAAGCCAAAATCTGAGGGGTACAGGCATGCCTACATGTCATGGGGCACAAAGGATTAACCCATCCTACAGACGGACTGACATAATGACAGTGAGACATGCACATTACGAGTGTCTCACAGTCAAGTTTCGTGACAGGCAGAGTTCAACCCAACAGGGACGGGGGATTCAACAGGTACACAGGTGGCCCCATGGCAAATGAAGGACTGTGGCCCTTGTATATGAACTTGGTACAAGGGAGAAGCTTGGCTTCAGTCTTGGGACCTGAAAATTATATGATTGTAGAATTCATAAATCTTCTGACTGCAAAATTCATGGTTGCAACATTACTGTAGGAAAACTGCATTTGTCCATCTGCTTGCCTAATTACAACATTACTGATCACATTTTGCATAAATTTGGTAGTGGGGCCTAGAATGAAAGTTGTAGTGAACTTAATTTAATAAACTATGTAATGCTATGCAGTAACGTCCCTTTTTCAGAAGCTAATAGATGCTCAAGCAGTCAGGAAATTCCCTGCTGTTCATGGAACTCAAAGCATCACTACCATACTCACAGACAGCCTGCCATTGGACTCTATCCTAAGAAAGATTAATTCACTTCACACAATAGCTCTAATCAGTTGTTGATCTATTGTGTCAAAATTCAGGCTGATGATCTACAATAATTTCACTTACCTACAGAGTTAAGACCGAGAAAACAACTGTGCATTAAATTCTGTATGTATTCAATAAGCAAGACTTGTCTCTACAATTACTAGCTTGTTTTATCATCCTTTATATAAATAGGCATAATAGGCTCTAATCAGTTGTTGATCTGGTGTGTCAAAATTCATGCTGATGATCTACAATAATTTCACTTACCTACAGAGTTAAGACCGAGAAAACAACTGTGCATTAAATTCTGTATGTATTCAATAAGCAAGACTTGTCTCTACAATTACTAGCTTGTTTTATCATCCTTTATATAAATAGGTACAATAAAAAAGATTGTGGTCCTTTATATTGTAAAAAGCAGTCGCATGCCACTGATTATGAGTTCTTCCATAGCGCATATCCCTTGGCCCCTCCCTTTTTCCTTTGCATTCTGTCTATGCCTGGCTACTGCCTGTGGACATTGGTGGATCCCTGTACCCTACTTCATGAGCTGATCAATAATAAGCACTTGCGTTTGTTACCTTTGAAGTTTCAGCATGTGTTCAAACTGATAATACGTAAAGCCAGAGTTAGGCAGGATACAAAGGCACTGATTACATCATTAATTATTCATATTCACATCAGTTTAACCAAAAATATATGACTGATAGCTGAGAATTAAACCATGACACTTAATTTTTTCTAAAATTTCTCTAAAAGCAGGAATGCATAAATATGCAGGGGGATAATTTTCAGCTTATATAGAAGAACATAAAAAGGTGTACCAAAACAAATGATTTGATGATAATTAAATATACTCGTATGAACTATGTGCCCAATTAACTGACGTAATGATGGCGTTCCAAGGGCTATTTCACTGTACCTTAATGTAACTACTTGTACAATTCCCTTACAAACACTAAATTAGAATACATTGAAGAATAGTCACTATACATAAGCAATAGTACAACTAATTATGTAAGACCATGCATGAAAGAGATCCACCAATATACAGTACCATTACAAGCTTTCTGAAATAAACAGTCATTAGTTTCTGATCAAATTTGTTCCTTGTACTTTTGAGCATCTTTACTTTGTTGTATACTTTCTTAATAGTATTTTGTATTTATTTGACATATTTGACATCGTACATTCATTTTGTCTAACTTTGGATCCATGGAATGCAATGCAATGCAATGTTATGTTATGTTAGTGGAGATCTGTTAAATTCTGAGGTGAAGTATAGCTGGATACTTAGATTAGTACTGTTTTTGCAAGACATGTCACAGCATTTATAGTGTGTGTGTGTGTGTGTGTGTGTGTGAGTGTGAGCAAGAGAGAGAGAATATGAGCCTCCACACTTACAAACAAAAATAAATCTCTCTGGTTTTAGTCAGCAAGTGAACTGTACCGACCGAGTGACTGCCACTTGTCAGCGAAGTTAATGCCAACTTCAGCAAATAGAGGGTGTCACGTGGTCAGCGCAATGAATCCCCACTGCAGTTATTCTCGGTTTTCTAGACCGGAGCCGCTAATTTTCCATTCAAATAGCTCCTTAATTATCCTCATGAGGCTGAGTGGACCCCATTCCAGACCCACTACTTCTCAGAAAATCTGGTAGCGCTGGGAATCGAACCTGGACCTCTGGATCTGTAGTCAGGAACTCTGACCACTAGACCACACAGGAGACCTCCACACTTACGGCCCATAATATTAATCAGTCAGTCAGTGGTTAATAATTCTTGGAAAGGTGGACTAAATATTACAACTCTTACTGAAAAGAAATCGGCATCTTATAGATTTATAGTGCATCATGTAAGCTATTTCAAAGATACTCTTATGTCTCCATGTTTAGTTATTATTCATGAATCAATTATAAAAACACTTCAAATATGATTTTAATTAAAATTTATGAGGAAGCAAATTGATTGACACTAGAAGAAATGATGTATCCTGAAACACTTTTGAGATATTCCATCTCTGTACAGTATACAGAAGCAAACAGAAAATAGCATCCAGTTTCAAAGTACCCACTTAACTTCCGTCAGTTTACATCAACTTTGGAAGTTCCACATTTGGGAACAGGTATGCATTCCACACATGTACCTGCCATACACAGAGTACGATGGGGTACCCAAAAGAAACCGAACTAATTTTTTTGTGGGCAGAGCTTTTGTAGTACTGCGTTTTGCCACTATGAGCGCATAGAGCTAACATTCCTGAGTCGATAAGCTGACTACCTTTGCTTCAGAAGGTAAGGACTAGTTTCGGCAGAGTTTATAATGACAACTGTTTTGTGTGATCGTCGTTTTTGCAATGGCTGATTTTCGTGAACAGCGTGCGGCGATGAAATTCTGCTTTTTGCTCGGGAAAAGTGGAACAGAAACTCCTGAAATGTTAAAAACGGCGTACAAGGACGATGCTATGGGGAAAACTCAAGAATTTGAGTGGTTTTCCCATTTCAAAAATGGTGAAATGTCAATTGGTGACAAACCTCGTTCTGGTCGTTTTCCATCTGGTCTGGTTTGTCCATTATGACAATGCCCCTGTTCACACAGCCCTGTCTGTACGACAATTCTTGACCAAAAATGGTATGACCCCTGTTCCTCACCCTCCATACTCACCCGACCTTGCCCCGTGCGACTTTTTTTTTGTTTCCTCAAATGAAAAGAGACATGAAAGGAAAAAACGACAGAGGCGCTGTCAAGCATCTCAAAAGATGAATTTAGACAATGTTTTGAAAAATGGAATAAAAGACTAGACAAGTGTATTAGTGTAAGTGGAGAGTACTTTGAAGGGGATTGAAGGTTTGTGCTTAAAATTTGAATAAATGAGTTTAAAAAAATAAGTTCAGTTTCTTTTGGGTACCCCCTCGTATTCTCTGCTCCACAGTGACCATACTGACTCCAGGGCCCACAACCTAATTCACAATGTAAACCAAGGGCCCTTACCTGCGGATCATGCGACCGCTGCGAGAAGCCGACCACTTACCTCCATCTAGTGTCAAGGTCAAGAAAAGTGGAACTATACCTCCATATGTCTTCTTGTCGTGTAGTACAGCACAACTTTATGTTAACTATTAAAGGACACATTCCAAACTGTACGGATTATGTAGCTCAGATGATAAGATAATTTAAATCTTCAATTGCAAGGGATACAAAGGAAGTGTTATAACTTTTCTGGTGTACCATTTGCCTGTCTGGACTGAGCAACATGAGAAATATGGCACTGGGCATATCTCATTCAAGAGCCAGTACTCGGTGAACATATACCTTTCTTGCATAATCTGCAGATCATCATCCTGAATGTTGAGGCTACAACAGAAGATAAAACTGGTGATATAAAGGACAGGTTTTACGAAGAACTAGAACATGTATTTGATAAATCCCCAAAGTAGCATACGAAAATTTTGTTAGGAGATTTCAATGCTAGAGTAGGGAGGGAAGACATTTTCAAACCAACAATTGGGAATGAGAGTTTACATGAAATATATATTCATAATGGAGTTACAGTGGTAAATTCTGCCACAACAAAAATATTTACTGTCAGAAGTACAATGTTCCTGAATCATAACGTCCATAACTTTATTTGGACATCACCTGATGGGAAGACACGCAATCAAATCAACCATATTTTGATAGATAGGAGATGGCATTCATGATGTCCGATCATTCAGGGCAGCAGATTG